AAGACCCCGTGGTTCAGGCTTTCGCAATACATCAAGTAAAGAATATTCAATCTTGATCTCATAGATTTTTGACTCTTAGTACTTCAGGTACACTGGGTTAGTAAGTGGTCCATATGAGCTTGCAATAAATGAGATTAAGTTTCTAAATCACCACCTCTTTGAAAAGAGCAGAGTTCCTCATGCGTGTGATTTACCTGTGGTTGGGTCTAAAGACAAAAGAGATGCACAGGGTGACTTCTCCGGGGTTATTCGGCCAGTTAGGGCGGACCCCGGGGTAGGAGACACAGACACCCCAACCCACGTCCAGGCCTCCATATATGAGTCCTCTATGCTTTTTTTCATCTGACACAAACTTCTCAAACATGTATGTGCCCGCAGGAAACCTGTGGCCTCGGTATGGATACAGGGGTACCTCGGAAGCTACCAGGAAAGGAGGGGGACCTTGCAGATCTGAGGTGATTCGAAGGCGCAATCACTCTAACCCCGGGAGAACACTGTCAGGCTGAAGAGCTCAGGTGGGTCCGACTGGCCCAGACCCAGGCGGGCACCCACCCGCGCCGTGGTCCACCCCTGCCGTCCCCCGCCCAGCGCACCGGGGTCCATACCGCGCCCCGGGCTCCAGGCCGGAACCGCGCCTACAAGCTGGGGCGGAGGCGGGGGGCAGGGTCGTCGCCTCCATACCTTGTCAGGGACTCCGTGGCCGGCTTCGGCCCCACAGGCGACCGACGCCCAAGACCTGGCCGGTTCCGCCCCGCCCGCCCCGCCCCGCCCCGCCCCGCCCCGCCCGCGTGGGCTGCCCGGCGCGCCGCCCGACCCCTCCAGGGCCACCCCAAATCCTCTAGCGCCTGAGTCCCAGCGGCACTCTGGGTGCAGAGAACACGTTACTCTTTTCCGAAAGCCAGCCGCGTTAAAAAACTGCGCGCTTAGTGCGGCTGAGACACATCGATCAGGCACAGAGCCGGACACCTAGAGCGAGGCGTGCGCGTGCGCACTGTGCCGAGGACGCCCATTAGGACCATAGAAGAGCGGTGCGTCGTCGCCAGCGCCCTCTGCCGGCGGCGGGAAGACAGCGCAGAGGGGCTGGAGGACGCTGCCGCTCGTCAACCGAATGGTCCCCGGAGGGACGCGGGTCTTCAGTGCTGAGCAGCTACTTAAATCAGATCTCGTCGGTTAGCTTCAGGAAGAAGTTAAATTTTGCTGCTATTCAGTGTTATTCATCATATGAGGATACAGACATTCTCTTGCCCTTCGAATGGAAACGTAAAAAAACACAAATTTACATAATGAAATTTAAAAAAAATTAAAAGAACAGTTAATACCCTCTCCACTTCTAGCAATACAGAGTACTAAATATCACCATTGATGTTTTGAAAATCACACACACACACCCCTATTTGCATAGCCTGAGTGGACTGATAGGAAAGTAAAGGAATTTCTAAGAAACTAGAGATGCTATGGAATTGGGATGATGAATCCCAGATGATGGAGTCAGTGTTGCTAAACCACCCCCTGGTGCGTGGCACATGGGTTTAAAAGGCCATAAGTAAAGACAGAAGATGAAATCTGGGTTTATGTAGACCAGGTTGGAACAGAAGACTGTTCCACAAGCACATAAAGCAAGGTTAGTCAAAGAATAACACCCCCAGAAGTGAACTTTATAATAACAGTGCCTCACAGACACAAACAGGACAAAAGTCGATTTCCTCTTTCCTTATGAGTAGAGCTGTTGTGTCACAACTCAGGTGTACTTTGAAATTGCCTCCCCTCCCTCTGTGAAGGACAAGGCGCGACTAAAGAAGGCAGGCCACTCCATATTGGTAGGTGGCAGTTTTAATAAACAAGGAAACTTACACCGAGGCTTTATCTTGGGTGGTTGCAAAACAAGTAGTTATCTGTATCTACCCACCAAATCTTAAAAATTTATATAGAGACTACCTGGGTCTAATGCACTGTCCAGATGGTCTTAGCAACACATTTTATCCTAGAAATGTGTCCTTGGTTAGCTTCTGGGAACTGAGTAAGCAAGCAGAACTTACACTGGGGTTGCGGTACAGGTGTTACTTGTGGGTGAGGAGCCTCTAAGTGCCCGGGTCCAACAGTCAGCTTAGCAGGTGGCCATATTCTTTTGATTGCCTTCCTCAATAGCAGTGGGGTTTAAATCTTCTCTGATAATTCAAAATAATAAACTTATACTCACACAAGCTACCATAAACTGCTTGTCTGCAAAGATTATAGATTTTGGAATTTTCAGTCACATTACATAAAATAAATATGTTTAATATGTCGTTAAAAACAAAAGGTCCTCCGATTCCTGAGTCGGATTTGTTTCTCTTTCTTTGACTGATGAACCCACCACCATGGGCAATGAGAATACTCATACCAACTCTGGCAAGTCCCCCACCACTGGGCATCAACAAAAGAACCATTGAGAAGTTCAAAAAGGAAGCAGCCAAGATGGGCAAAGGCTCCTTCAAGTACACCTGGGTGGTGGACAAGCTGAAGGCAGAGCAGGGCCTCACCATCGACATCTCCCTATGAATATTTAGAACCAACAAATACTCTATCACCATCACCAATGCCCTCGGCCACAGGGACTTCAACAGGAAGACAATCACCAGCACAGCCCAGGCAGCACAGCCCAGGCAGCACAGCCCAGGCAGCACAGCCCAGGCAGCACAGCCTAGGCAGAACTCATCCATGGATGAGTTCAACGTGGGCAGTTCTAAAAATAGGCAGACCCTGAAATATGCACTGCTGGCCTACACTCTGGGCTTGAAGAAGCTGGTGATGGCCATCAACCAAATGAACTCTACCAAGGTCCCCTACAGCACCATGAGATTCCATCAACTGTAAAAAAGAGTTTTGTTGATGGCATTAAAGAAAACACTGAAGAATATCACCTAAGAGATTGCCTTATATTGTTCATATTTTGAGCAGTATGGGGAAATTGAAGTGATTGAAATCCTGAGTGACCAGGGCAATGACAGGAGAGGCTTTGCTTTCATAATCTTTGATGGCCATGAGGCCATAGAAAAGATTGTCATTCGGACATGTCATACTGTGAATAGCCAGGCTGTAAAGTAAGGAAACCCTATCACAGCAAAAGACGACTAGTGCTTCATCCACTCATAACAGTCCAAGTGGTTCTGGAAAATTTGGTGGTGGCTGTGGAGGTAGTTTGGTGGCTGTGAAAGCTTCAGTTGTAGAGGAAATGTCAGAAGTTAAAGTGGCTTTGATAGTAGCTGCGTGGGGAGTGGGGAGAGGATGTGGTTGCAGTGGGAACGGCTATAATGGATTGGGTAACCATGGAAGCAATTTTGGAGGTGATGGAAGCTACAGTGATTTTTAGCAATTATAACAATCAATCTTCCATTTTTTTAAAAGAATATTTTTGGGGGATATAGAAGTACTCGGGTGTAGGCCAGAAGAATAGGGGGTGAGAGGTACAGGGGGTGAGAGGATTCACCAGAGACAGAGGAGCAAAGCAGGTGGATTTACTGAAATACACTGTTAAGGGGAGCAGCTGGCGATACAGGAGAGGTCTGCTGCACCAGGTGGGTTAGCTCCCTGGCCCTGGATTGAACTCAGGTAGCATTATGATAGCACGGAGACTAGGCCATCAGGAAGGCCCCCAATATTCCAATTTTGCATGCATGTCTGGAGACAGACACTCTGGTCCCCATGCTGATGGGTGTCAATACTTTACCAAACCATGAAACCAAAGCGACAGTGGTGACTCCAGCAGCAGCAGTAGATACAGTAGTGACAGGAGGCTTTAATTACTGCCTGGAAACAAAGCTGAACTTGAGCAGAGAGCCAGAGTCACAACAAGGAAGCTACACGTTTAGAACAGGTTTGTCAATTCAGTCATATACAGTGGTGGCAGGACCAGTCTACAAAGAAGACATGTTTTAGATAACACTCGTGTGTATGGGAAAAACTCCAGGGCTGTATTTGTAACTCCTTGTATAATAGGTTATTTTAGTTTCTTTTCTGTGGAAGGTGTGAAGCATTACAACAAGGATTTTAATGTAGATTTTTTTAGAGGGTACCCATGCTGCTGATTGTTATATGTAATAGTCTGATCATGATGGTGAACATCTTTTTAAAAATAAAATAATACTATATCTGATTTGTGAAATTAATGAAAAACAATATAATAAATATTGGGTTAGAAAGTCTTAAATACAAAGGGATCAATTTATATTAAAGGCTTCTAAGATCTATGTATTGCTTGACAGAATAAATATATTGACTACATATATTTATTTAATAAGCCAGTTGAAACTTTTAGATTAATTAAAAAAGCAGATTAAAACTTTCAGACTAACCACCAAAGATCAGAAATAAATTGTATACTTTCAAAATAAGGAGAGTTTAAAACTGGAAATATGAGCTTAAAAATGAAAAAATTACCCCACTGCACCCTAAGATGCTTTCAATCAACCTTATTTATGAACACAGTAAAAGGTTCTAAAGAAAAGCACATGTACACAAAAGCAACATTATGACCAAGTTGATTTTATTGCAGAGATGCAAAGTTGGCTTAATACTAGAAAAGGTATTAGGGTTTTTTAGAAAAGGAAATCAGGGCCTCCCTGGTGGCGCAGCGGTTGAGCGCTGGGTAGCGAAGCGGCCCGCAGCCTCTGCAGCGCCAGTTCGATCCCCGGTTGCTCCCCGGCCACTGGAGGAGGGTGTTATTGCTTGATTCATCACCCAGGAAGACTTGGAGGAGGGTGTTATTGCTTGTTATTGCTTGATTCATCACCCAGGAAGACTTGGTTTGATAGAAAGTTGGACTGATTTATCTGCAGGCTCAGTTTACAGTACCAGTTGGAAGACAATACCCCGTGAAGCTGGGATGCTGTTGTACAGCATGTGGTATATTCCTTAATTCAGAGGGTGCTGTGTGATGCTATCTCCCTCCAAATCAGGAAGCATGGGTCTAGGAACCAAGGGGTACAGGTGGGTGTTTTTCTTTTACTGTAACACTAGTGAAGAAGTCTAACTCCCTGTCACCACCATCTGGGACTCAATAGGTTTGGAAATCCTTGCATTCAAAGGATGAATATTTCCATTGGAGAATGGACAAGAAAGAAGAAACTGAAACTGTCACTGGCCTAATAAATCTGACCCAACAGGAAGAAGAAATGATCATTCTACTGGACAAAGTGATTGATCCTTGAAGAAACAAACAAAAGGCATAATCAGAGTAAGGGCTGGGAGTTTGGGTGAGGGTGGCAAGTTAAGGCCAGAGTCAGAGAGAGGCTCAGCCCATCTGATCTAGCTTTGTTAGTTGAACTGAAGCATTCCAGAGGCTTTGGGCCACATGAGGATCCTGACCAGCTTCACTGGGAAGAGTTATCATACAGGAACTGCTAAAATATCTTCCAGAAATGCCCTCCAGCTCCTTTGCCAAGCTCAAATAGAGGACTGGGATCATTCCTTGTTTGGCATCCTGTGGAGACATTGGGGGGAACGGGTTGGTGGAGTCATACCAGAAAGGCTTTAGCCTGCTGGAGACACACCAAGAAGTGGCATTTCACCCCAGTATCTTCAGGCTGAGTCTGCTCTCCCCTACCTACCTTAATAAAGAAGCTGCAGAGCCAGAAGATGAAGCGGTACATATAAGAAAAATTCTTCATAATGTCTGTGTATACAACACCTGGATCCACACTGTTCACAGTCACACCTAAGAGGATGAGCCACACAGAGTGCAACGTGAATTGAGAGGAGGCCATTGGGAGAAAGGACGTGTGGTTCTAAAGTGTGCAATATGGGAAGGATCCTACCAGGTCTGTGGGGTAGAAACTACTAGAGACTTAGAGGAGGTGGGGGGAGGGGGGCGGCAGTCAGTGCTCTATAACCTGCAGGAATGTTGGGAAACAAGGCAGTAAGGACACACAAGATTTGAAAGTGTTGGGTGAACTGTGGGAGGAGCATGATGGATGTTATGAGAATTGGAGAATACTGAGAGGAGGAGGATGTTGTGGGTGATAAGAGAATGAGAAGAGGTTAAAAAAAGAGATATGAAGACAAAGTTGAGAGAAATATAGAGTGCAAAGATGATAAATGGAGATTGCAGCCATTTGGGGGATCTAGAGGGTATTTATGGCCTTGACATGTGGGAGGAGATGTGAAGGGTTGGGATTAGAGGATTAAGGAGTGTCAGAGTCAGGTACCTGTCCCTTGAAGTCTCCGGGCGAGCTCCCCAGTGAATGAGACCAAAAGCAGTTTACTGCAGTCGTAGTGCTGGTTGAAGGCCAAGGGGGCACCGGCCCCTGTCAGGTGCTCCTCATCAATGTACCCACATGCATGCCGAAAGGAAGACACATTCACCACCCGGGCTGACCCTGCCCGCTGTAGGGCCCCTGGGTGGAGAGAGGATCATACTCCTTCATCCAAGTTCTGGTGTAAACGCTCATGTCCATCCCCACCCTGCTTCCCCAGGAGACTCCAGGAAAGGAGAACCATCCAGGGCTTTCAGGAGAGGGTCAGTAGATAGCCGACCCAGGAAACCAGACCAGGTGCAAGAGAGTGAGACTTAATTTTCATTCTCTGCTTTTCCAATGCCCTTCCACCTCTTTTAACCTTTGGAATTTTTCCTTTTCTCCCACTTGCCAGCTGGAGCTGATTTAAACAACCCTTGTTTATGTTTTACCTCACTGATGGCTAAGTAGAGGAAGGAGAGGCTATTTTATTTGGACATTCAATAGTTTACTTATTCACCCCACAACAAAATGACAATCAATAGAGCATGTTAAATCTTATTTTTAATGAGCACCTATCTATATTTTAAAATCTAAATTATATAAAGAAAACTAGTAATCACATGTGAGTTTACAGTATTGTTTTCAAAATGTAAAACTATTTTGAGACCTACGTTCAAGAATCATAAGTGAAAAATTAGCAGATGGTATTTAGTAAGTTTGTCGGAGAAAAAAGTATTCACAAAGAGAACAGTGGAGCCCAAGGTTGCAGACATGGTGACATAAAGCCCAAAGTGGCTTACAGCCTAGTTAGAAACTGGTCTCACAAAGCTATGTCAGTGCAGGAACAGAGAAACCCTGTAAATGGAAGTGGCTGGGAAGGCAGAGGTGTCAGACAGGATCCACAGCATGGGTGATGTCTGGGCTGAGTCTTGGCAGATGAACTAAAGGTAGCCAGGCTAAAGGAATGGGAAAGGATATTGCAGATGAAGGAAACTTCACGTGCAAAATCACAGCCAGAGGGAGGGAAAAGAAAAAGATTACGGTCCAAAAGCTACAGATAATTCCTGGGTTATGGAAGGGTAGAAAGTGTGGCTCTCAGTCTGTAGGGGGCCTTGTAGGTGGAAAGAAGGGGTTTAGAGCTTATCCTATCAGGAGACAGTACCTTCAAAGGATTTTTTTTTCCTTTTTATTAAAGATTTATTTATTTATTTCATACAAGAACTGGGGCACAGGCCAGACGCGCAGGAGGGTGAGAGGACTCACCAGACACAAAGTGGGGAACAGAACAGGCAGACTGACCAAATACACCGCTGAGGGGAGCAGCGGGCAAGACAGGAGAGGTCTGCAGCGCCATGTGGGACCCTCGCTGGCTGGCCGGGATCTAACCAGTGCTGCAGAGACTGCAGACAGCTTCACAGCGCTGCCCTCAACCACCTGTGCCACCATGGGAGGCCCACCTTCAATGGATTTTAAGCAAGAAAGTGATATGATGAAAGATGATTTCTAGAAGTGGTGGAAGGGAGATTAGAGAAGGGGAGACAGGAGAAAACACAGTTTTAGGAACAGTTTACTAAGCAAAGTATAGATAGAGTGTTAGCATGATACAGTTGGGGGAACGGGGGAAAATCATTCATATTTACAAAAGTACGGAGTTTTGCCTTGCTTGTTCACTGTCTAATTACTTACAGTAATTGCCTCCCAGGAGAGGATAACTGATTTACAGGGAGCAAAAAGGACATTTCCCCCAACATATTCCCTATTGTACTCTTTCAGTTTTGTACTTTGGGTTTTTTCTTTAAAGATTTATTTATGGGCCTCCCCGGTGGCGCAGGGGTTGAGCGCTGGGCTGCGAAGCTGCCCGCAGCCTCTGCAGTGCCGGTTCCATCCCCGGCTGCTCCCCGGTCACCACCGGCCACCGGAGGAAGGTCCCACATGACGCCCTCTCCTGCCGCCCGCTGCTCCCCTCAGCAGTGTACCTCGGTCCCTCTGCCTGTTCTGCTCCCCGCTCTGGCTCTGGTGAATTCTCTCACCCTCCGGTGCTTCTGACTGTACCCAGTGCTTATATGTATGTATGTATAAATCAATTAATAAATAAATCTTTTTTAAAAAATCTTTAAAAAAAAGATTTATTTATTTATGCATACAAGAGATGGGGTGTAGGCCAGAGATACGGGGGATGAGGGAGGTGAGAGAATTCACCAGAGACAGGGTGGGGAGCAGAACAGGCGGATTGACTGAAATACACTGCTGAGGGGAGCAGGGAGGGAGACAGGGGAGGTCTGCTGTGCCATATGGGTCAGCTCCCTGGCCAAGGATTGCACTTGTGCTGCAGTGGCTGCTGATTGCTTCGTAGTGCTGAGACTTAATCCCTTGTGCCATCAGGGAGGCCCTACTTTGGATATCTATTAACAATGTTATTACTCTATAGAAAAAATTTGTAAGAGGACAAGTGTCTGCCACCCACTCTCCCCACCCCCAACCCCACTCCAAGTCAAAGTTCTACCCAAACCACCTTAATTAAAAAGAATTAAAAAGTCAGGAAGTTGGGGGCCTCCCCGGTGGCGCAGTGGTTAAGCGCTGGGTTGCGAAGCTGCCAGCAGCTTCTGCACCGCTGGTTCGATTCCCAGCTGGTCCCACATGGTGCGCAGACCTCTCCTGCCGCCCACCCCGCAGACCTCTCCTGCCGCCCGCTGCTCCCCTCAGCAGTGTACTTCGGTCCTTCTGCCTGCTCTGCTCCCCGCTCTGGCTCTGGTGAATTCTCTCACCCTCCCGAGCTTCTGACTGTGCCCAGTGTTTAAATAAATAAATAAATCTTTAAAAAAAAAGTCAGGAAGTTGGGCCTCCCTGGTGGGCCTCCCTGGTGGCCTAGGGGTTAAGTCTCAGCTCTATCACCACTACAGCCTGAATTTGAGTTTTCTCTTCCAGAGAGCTAACCCACATATAGAAAAGCAGACCTCTCCTTTCTCGACCCCTGCTCCCCTCAGCAGAGTATTTCAGTAGATCTTCCTGTACTGCTCCCCACTCTATTTCTGGTGAATCCTCCCACCCCTGGCATGGTATATTTGTCTATCTCTCTCCTGTATGCTAAGTTCTTTGAGAGCAGGAAGTCATGTTCTTGGAGGTGAGCTGTCTCTCTGAGGAGGCTTTTGAGATGGCTGACTAGTCTAGCTAGAACTCAGCTGTGGAAAGGAGAGGTGGGATCTTTTTTTTTTTTAAGATTTATTTATTCAAGAATTGGGGTACAGGCCAGATGCACAGGAGGGTGAGAGAATTCACCAGAGACAGAGAAGGGAACAGAACAAGCAGATTGACGAAACACACTGCTGAGGGGAGCAGTGGGTGCGACAGGAGAGGTCTGCCACGCCATGTGGTACCCTCGCCAGCCGGCCGGGATCAAACCGGCACTGCAGAGGCTGCAGACAGCTTCACAGCGCAGCGCTAAACTGCCTGCGCCACCAGGGAGGCCCAGGAGAGGAGGGATCTTATATTCCCTTGCTGATTGTGTTTTGGCTTGACTAACTCCATTACCAACCTCCTACTCCTGATTTATGCCACGTGATTTCTCCACCATGTACAACAAAAGTACACTAGGTTATCACTCACCAAGCAGCTGAGCTGCCAAGGAGGGGGAGGTGGCCATGGAAGACAGTAAGTCACAAAAATACCAGGGTTATGGAGAAGCAGGGACAACACAGAAGGTAGACACCTGTCCTCCCTTACCTTGGAGTAGATTTGTGAGCAGAAAAGGCCCCATGTAGTTGGTCGCAAACGTGAGTTCAAGACCCTCTGGGGTAAGTGTCTTGGGTAATCCTGGGAGGAGATTACAACACAGATGGTAGGTGATAGAGGGAGATAAGGTCTGGGGGGAGGTCATATACTGAGGTTCAGTAGAAATGCTACAGGAACATATATGCAAAGGTGGGGGCAATGAAGTGTGAGGCTATAACTTGAGACAGGTTTTTCAGGGTAGTGTATGAATTAGAGTGTTTCAACAGGATGAATGAGTTAGGTTTTGGGAATGCCTGTTTTGGGGTCCCTGAGCTAGAATTAGAGGCTCCTAAAATGTGTTTGGAGAAGCATGGGAAGGCACGTACCAGAAACTGCAGCATTGTTAACCAACAGGTGTATCTCAGGATGCTCCTGCAGAAGCCACTTGACAAAGCTCCGGATAGAGGTCATAGAGCTCATGTCCACCTTGCCAAGCAGAACACGGCTGTTGCCCCTTGTGGCTGCTCGGATCTCAGCCAGGGCTCGCTGTCCACGCTCACGACTGCGACAGGCCAGGATCACACAGGCCCCTCGGCGTGCCAGCTCCAGGGACACAGCCTTTCCCAGGCCTGTGGGAGGGTAGTCTGGGGCATGAGTTGCTCAGTGGAATAGAGGGAGGGACAGGGTGCTTAGAATGACCTTCTTCCCTGCCCTCCTTGTTGAGACTATTGGGAGCTGAGCCCCTAGCGAGGTGACCAGATGGGAGGATCACTCACCACTGTTGGCCCCCGTCACTACTGCAGTCTTCCCTCTCAGATCTGTGGAGCAGCGCTGGAGGTTCCAAAGATGAGTCTTACTCCAGAACCGCACACATAGTCTTTGCAGGAGGAAAGCAATGGTGAGAACATAGCCAGCTCCCCGGCCTAAGGTGCTAAACTGAGACCACCGAGACATAGTAGAGACTGCTGCCCTGGAAAAGCTGCAATGGAGTAAGAAGCGGTAGGTGCTTGTCAGAGTTGAGGACAGGCTACTAGGTAGGAGTGGGGTTGTAATTTAAGGAGGCACCCACTCTCAGGCTTGCTCAAGCACCCTGTTTGAATTCAGTGATTTAAGTTCCTCCTTAAATCATTTGACCTAGTTGAGGGATTGCCTCACCTTAGCTGCTAACCTTAGTGAAAAAGCTAGTAAATATGAGATTCCCTCAGTTCTGCACAGGCCCAAATTTATTTCCAAGTGAAACTTGTATTTGCACTGTAAGGCAAACTGATAGAGCTCCAGGAATTGGTGAAGCTCCAAATAAAACTTCTTGGGGGATGCAGTTGGGGAGTGGGATGGAGGGGCACCAGGTAGTGCCCTGACCACATGGCCTTTTCCAGCATTATCTCCTCTCTCACCCCACCTGCAGCTCTCTGGTCAGGGCTTGCTCATGGGACTCTGAGCTGAGGTGGTGGAGCTGTCTGGAGGGACCACGGTGGGTACAATAAGAACCTGAGGTCGAGAGTCTCCCCCACCCAGCATCAAATTGTCTCAAGCCACAGGAAAAAAGGGAGAAAATTCATAGATGCCATTGCCATAAAGAGCATTCTATGACTTGTCCTTTTCTCTCTTTTTTAAAAATTTTTAAAGCTTTATTTATTTATGCATACAAGAACTGGGGTATAGACCAGAGGTGGGTGTGTGTGTGAGAGGATTCACCAGAGAGAGAGGGGAGTAGAACAGGCAGATCTACAGAAATACGCTGCTGAGGGGAGCAGTGGGTGAGATAGGAGAGGTCTGCTGTGCCATGTGGGTTGCTCCCTGGCTGGCCCAGGATCTAACTCATGCTGCTGTGGCTGGCAATAGCTTGATAGCACTGTGTCTTTAACCCCTGCGCCACCAGAAAGGCCCTGACTTGTCCTTTTCTTAAGCTCCCAATTTGGCTTCATACTTTATATTATTTATTCCTGAATCTTGGCTCAACTCCTAGGGTTTAACCTATTGGCCTCAAGCTAGTGGGCATTTTGCATTGCCTTTCTACTTCCTCGGTTTTTTTTTTTTTTTTTTTGGAAATTTCATTTTTTTTATGATTTATTTATACAAGATCGGGGTACAGACCAGATGCACGGGAGGGTGAGAGGATTCACCAGAGACAGAGCAGGGAGCAGAGCAGGCAGACTGACTGAAATACACTGCTGAGAGGAGCAGCGGGCGAGACAGGAGAGGTCTGCTGTGCCATGTGGGACCCTCGCCAGCCGGCCGGGATGGAACCAGCACTGCAGAGGCTGTGGACAGCTTCACAGCGCTGTGCTCAACCGCCTGTGCCACCAGGGGAGGCCCTACTTCCTCATTTTTATAGTAATTGGTTATGTACTTCTATTTGAGTGAACATGATGATGAGTACCTCTCCACTCAACTCCATTCATACTATCATAGATCACTCACTATGCTAAAATTCAACAGCAGAAGAAATACCAAGAAGAGGTCATCCCAGCATTAAGAGATATTCCTATTAGTAAAGCAAATGTTTTCTTGCAGCCAAAGAACTTTATTACACCACAAACTGAATTGTATGTAGACTAACACCAGGAATTTGCTATAAGTTTTTGACATAATTTTTGACCACAATTATTTCAACTCTCTTATTAATAAAACAGTATAGAAACTTTTTTTAGAAAGTTGGATTTCTCTTAAAGTTCCATTAATATAAATGTTCACAATTATTAGTCATTAATGAACAGAATAAATTACTGCATTACCATATAAAAGCCTTCAAAAAACAAAAAATATCAGTTGGAAATGATATGGCCTCAGCTTCAAGCCATCTAATTCCTCATGTATTTGGATCACTTTGTGCTTAAGCAGAGCTGTCTTCTTCCTCCACACCCCACAGGCATCCCTTAAGTCTGCTCCTTTGTGGAGTGGAGGATGGTTCTCAGGAAGGCCTCTGCTGGGGAACAGCCTTGGTCTAAAGCCAGTTCTCCTAAGGGTGGTAATGGGTTACTCTCTGGAGTCAATGTCAGTCTTCTTGGCCTGCAGGACAACTCATTTATGGTTCAGTAAGAGTAGACACATTTGGAAGAAACTGACAGAGACATCAAGCCAATTCTTAAGGCAACTCAGGAGTTTATTTCTAGCAAGCAGACAGAAGGAAGGTGGGATTCCCCCTGCCTGAGGTTCGGGCTCAGAATCGGGCAGGTGCTTTTGTGGGAAGTGACCACACTTTGGGGGTTGAGTCTCTCATTATCTGTGCCACAGTCACCAGGGGCTTTGGGGCAACTGCCGGGATGGGCTGCTGCTCATTGGGAAGAGGGGGGCTGCCTTCTTTGCCCTCCTGCTGGGGTTCAGCAGAGTTGAGCAGCACCTGAGTGGTTGGGTTCCACAAGCTCACACCAGGAGCCAGCTTCATTACTTCTGGCAGAAGCATGGGCTTCCACATCACCTGAGACGTGGCCTCGAGGATCGGAGGCGCAGGATAAGGCCACCTGTGAGGATCCTGGTCCTCCTGGTGCCCAGGGTCCCGGCCCTGCGGAGGTATGTGGGCGCGGTCCGCCCACAGCTCGCCCAGCAACTCAGCCTCCCCATCCAAGCCTCTAAGCCACTTGGCACCTGGCCACACTTTGGGGCTGCGGCTTTGGGCCCCGTCTGTGAGCGCCGGGTGCGTGGCAAGAAAACGGAGCCCGGGGGTGGGGAAAGGCAGTTTAGACCCGACGCCTGGCAACGGTAGGTCTAAGCTTGAAGTGGAGAACTGGCGTTTTGGACCGCGGTCCAAGGTGCAGAAAGGAACGTCCAGCGGGAAAGGGACGAGGGCTTGAGGCTCAGCCGGGCTTTCGGTGTTCCGGCTCCGCGGGCGCCCGCGGGAGGCTTCCAGAGGGCGCGCCTCGCAGTCAGGGATCAGAACCTCGGAAGTTGGGCGCACCCAGTGGCGCGGCAATCGCGCGGGGTCCAGGCGCGCCAAGGCCGCCCTGCGACCCCCTCTGTGGTGAAGGCCGCTCGGCCGCCTGTCGGCGCGCGGGGGCCGCGGCTGCGGGAAGTACGCGCAGGGGCTGAGCGCGCTGGAGCCGCCCACAGAGGGGCTGGACGCCGACCCGCCGGAGGCGGCACCCGGCACCTCCCCCTTTTTGGGCTCCTGCAGGTCCCCCGTGGCGCCGGTCCCGGATGCGCAAAAGTACAGGTCCTTGAGAGAGAACTGGGGGCTGGGGGCCTGTGCCCTCGCGGCGGAGGCCTGGCGGCTAGCTACCCGGGACAGGTCCAGAGAAGGCCGGGGGCTGCCCGCGGGAGTCGGCTCCACCGACTGTGGGAGGGTCGCCGTCAAAGACCGGTCAGAGGGCTGGAGACCTTTGACTAGGTCGTCCAGCTCTTCTAAAGAACCTCCGGGCTCTGCCTCCTCAAACAGCTCCGGAGTGGGTGGAGGGCCCGTGCTGATTGTCAGCTCGGGGGAAGGCTCTGGAGAGCCTTGACCCATCCACGATCTTGCTAAAGGGGTGTTGTCCATGCTCTCCCGGTCCTGGAGAAATGCAAGAGGGTGAATGGCAAAACAGCAGAAAGGGGAAAAGGAGGAGGAGTCCAGAGAGATCCAGAGGGAAACTTAGACCCCGGGGCGGGGGCGGGGGTTGCGGAGGGAGCTGGGGGCTGGCTTACTTCGCCTGGGAAGGTCTGTTCCAGTCCGGGCGAGGTCGGTGTGCGCAGCACCGGCACGGATCCCTGAGCCCAGGCGTCTGTCGTGCACACCGAGGGCTCCTCGTCCTCAGCCCACGTGGGGTCCTCGGCCACTGCACGTTCTCCCTCGTCCCGGCCCAGGAAGCGCCACTCGATGATCTGCAGCATGGCCTCCCTGGCCTGGTTGATGGTGAACGGAATGCACTGCGGAGGCGAGAGAGAGTCTCAGCTCAGCAGAGAGGGTTCGGGAAGAGCGGGAGATGGGTCTGAAGAATCCAGATTCAGGCGCACCTGCCGTTTCAGGTAGACTTTGAAGGCGGAGTCCATGACTCGCGTCAACAACTCGTCCAAGATGTCCACCACCACGCCTTCGCCCTCCTCAAGAGCTGTGAGCGCTATCCACTCCGCTTCGTTGAGCCTCCCAGGCACAATGTCCACCTGCGGCACCGGCACGGTAGGCGGCCTCGACTTCTCTGCTTTGGATCGGGTCACCCCGCGGTCTCGGGCCTGCCTCTCCTGCCTCTGTGGGAAAGGAATGCCAAGGAAGTCAATCAGGGCAGGAAACCGAAGTGTGAACGGGAGAAGCAACTACAAGCTAGAAGAAAGCTTTCTCAATTAGTCCAGTAGGAAGGAAAGTCTTTTGAAAGAGACAAATTATTAAGAGCCTACCATGTGACACATACTTTTTAGGTTTGACCTATCTAATTTAATGTCCATATAGTCCGCTAAGCCCATTTTGTATTCAAACAAACTGAAACTTGACAGAAGTCAGCCATTACTGGCTTGGGTCACACAGTAAATCCAGGCTATTTATAGCTCTAACTCACAAACCTTGTTTTTACACTAGTTGAAAGTGTTCAAAGTTCTTGAGAGTTCAAAGAATTAGAGAATGAGGAGTCATTAAAAGATGCTGGAATTATTGTTGTTTACAGTCTCCTTTCCTCCCCAGTCAAAATCAACATACACCTCATTTCAATACACACACACGTTCTGAAGTGCAAATAAAAACACCCAACATATTCCCTGGTTGGATATTGAAAACATGTCTAACAAAAAGAACAGATGGCTAATTGAGTGCTAGTTACATGATGGCTAATTATATATATGTATAAATTCTAGATGGATTAAAGGATTAACATACCAATAAAACAAAAATACAAACAAAAAATTACAAATAGGAAAAATAGGTTAAATTGTCATATAATTTCTGGATGAGAAAGCCACTGCCTAAAAATAAAAGCAATGTGAGAAATAAATAGGTAGATAGGTGTAAACATATAGACCAAATTTTCCTGTACTTACATTTTAAAAATCCTAATTACAAGCTGATATTAGTTACCACTTACTGATATACTTAAAATGTGCCTAATTTACATATTTTAAAAACATTGTAAATATCACAAATATTGACTCAATTCCTACATTTTTTAGACTGTATACTATTTTTATTCCCATTTTACAGAATCTTCCCAGAACCATCCAACAAGGAAGTAGTGGAGTCATAATTCATAAGCAGATATGGCTGACTCCAGAACCTGACTTTATCCTTCCTCCCAAACAAAATATATTTGTGACAAAGATAAAAGAGTAAATATCCCTAAGTATATAAGAAATTCATATGATAAAAATCATAAGAAGATAAAAGCAAAGGGCATAACATTTTACAAAAGTGAAAACGTAGATGACTAATGAACATTTGAAAAAATGTCCAACATTCAAAACTATCAATTCCAGTTTTATAAATACACCCAAAGTCATATTATATGATGATTAAAGGTAATACTTAGGAATACTTTGTAATGGCATAAGAAAATAACGTGAAGGGCCTCCCCTGGTGGCGCAGTGGTTGAGTGCTGGGCTGCGAAGCTGCCCGCAGCCTCTGCAGCGCCAGTTCGATCCCCGGCCGCTGGTGAGAGTCCCACGTGGCGCGGCAGACCTCTCCTGCCGCCCACTGCTCCCCTCAGCAGTGTACTTCCTCAATCTGCCTGTTCTGCTCCCCGCTCTGGCTCTGGTGAATTCTCTCACCCTCCCGCGCTTCTGACTGTACCCAGTGCTTGTAAATAAATACATAAATCTTTAAAAAAAAAAAAAAAAAGAGAAGAAAAAAAAAGAAAGAAAAGAATGTGAAGAAAAGGAAAACAACAAAATTGTAATATGGATATGTTTCTTTCCTATTTGCTTCACTTCTCTATTTTATAAGTGCTTTACAATGAATCTGTTTCCTATCATAATCAAGAAAAATACACTTAGAACAAAAAAGTATAGTCCCCCAAAATTCATTTTAGGGACATTGGAATTTACTAGTAGATTCTTGAGAGCCTCTTCAACCTGGTTTCCCTCAACCTGGTTTCTTCCAAAATTTACCTACAAACACAATCTTCCCAAACTTTTGCCTCCCCACCCCAACTTTATTACCTCATACCTAATGTTCCACTAAATTAATTCTTCCTCATATCTGATGTTTCCTAAACCTCATACTGAACCCCAGTTCCCTTAAATCTCATTTTTCCTCACTGCTGGTGAGAACAGGCCCAGTGGCAAGCCCAGGGGATGGCCCAGAGCCCAGTAAAGGTTTGGCCAGAGTAGGGCAGACTGGACAAGAGAGGCAAGTAGGTTTCTTGGCCTTCCCCTCCCAGGTTCTCATGTGACATCCATGATAGCAAGCTAGACGTGGCCTAACCAGAGGGACCAGAAATATTGTTCTACAAAGACCCTTCAAACGTTTTCTTCTAAAGTTTCTTGGTTTTTAAACAATTTGACTTTCAAATGTAGTCTCATTGTTGTTTAATCTATTTCTTCCTTCTGAAATTCTCAAAATAGATCATTTGTCTCGTAGTTCTCTCCCAATACCTGACCAATTCTGATTTATTCATTTAAACGGGCTTATATGCATTAGCTATATCCAAAGTCACGTCTTGTCCTGGGACTGCACCACCCGTTTGATCCTTTCCTTCAGGTCAAAGCATGAGTGACACGAAGTAGGCGTAGGTTTTCTGCCCCAGTACCAAAGAAGCTTCCAAGGTCACCCTGAACGACTGCGAGCTTCGGGTGGCGCGGGGCTGCACTACGGTTGCCGACACCGCCCTGAACGACTGATCCCGGTCCTTGTGCACCCACAGCTGAGCTGAAGCTCACCGAGCCTTCGTGAGCCATCGCGGTAGCTGGAGCTCCAATCTACGCCCGGGTCTCAGCAGTTTTCCAGCGGGCTGCGTCTGCCGCCGCCTAACGGTCGCCCCAGCAACCGCGCCGCCCGCCGACGGCTAGTACCGCCCATAGTTGCCTCAGCAACCCCGCCGCGCGCTGCACGTTCGGGTGGTTCGCCCCGCCCAATGACCGTGCGTACGTGCGTCGTCTCTATGGTGGCGGCGGATTCAGAGGGACCGAACCATCCCCGAGTCAGGCAAGCCGACCTAGGGCTACTAGTGTGACCTCTCACCCGGGCTGGGTCTTCGGGGAGTGGAGCCGAGCCGAGGGAGGAAGGAGTCGGGACTACCCTGCCTCATCCCTCCTTGGCTCCGTCGCTTGGAGCCACCGGGTGCTGTGCGGTCACCATGCCTCTTCTGGGGTTATTCCATCGCCCATGACTAAGCCCTGGAGCTCCCTTCTGCTCCGCGAGAACCTCCCCATTGCATGCGATCCCTGCCCCCCCCCCAGTCACCGTCCTCAGGGTCCCCATCACCTCATGACCCAGTCTGCGAGGTGTACCTTCCCACCCCCTCAGGAATCTCGGCTGTTGTCTGTTTCGCCCTCGCCTGCTCATTCCAGCATCTCTCCCCTAGGATGTTCCGCCGAGAGCGCTGCATCCCTCTTCGAGGCTCGGCTGCCGCCCTGTGCAACAACCTCAGTGTGCTGCCGCTGCCAGAGCGCAACCTCACACATTTTGGGGTAGTGCATGGACCCAGGGCCCAGCTTCTCAGCGCGTCCCCCGAGGGTGTGTCCTTAGCCCAGCGCCAGCTGCACGCTAAGGAGGGAGCTGGAGTGAGCCCCCCACTAATCACCCAGGTGAGGCAGAGTTGGGACTGGTGTTGCTGAACCCAGCACTAACCACTGTTCTTTGTTCCAAATATCAAGGAGTAGGCCTTCCCTAATCCTCTGAACTTTCATTCTTCTGAGTCCTCTTGTCCTCTGCTCAAACCATTTCTTCCTACTCCACCCTACCTCCTCCAGGTCCACTGGTGTGTACTCCCTTTCCGAGTATTGCTGGTACTCACCTCACATCGCGGAATACAGGTAAGAAAATGTCCTCCCTGCCCACCCCCCACTACAGGCTTTTCAACTCTTTAAGGGCCTTAGGCCCTTCTCCCACTTGCCTCTAAACACTTCCAAGCACTACAAAAGTGCCCAGCCCACTTTTCCTGATTTCTCGTTTTCATTCCAATTTCCCACTTCCCAAGTGCCATCTGTAATGTCTGCCGCTTTACTAGCTCTGAGACCTTGGGCAGTTTAGTTAGCTCCTCAGAGCCTCAGTGTCCTCTATAAAATGGGAATAAATGTAGTGCCTCCCTCCCAGAGTTGTTCTGATTTAGTGGGCTAAGACTAACGTGAGTATGTAACGTACTCAGCACAGAGCTCAGCAAAGGTCAACTAGGTTGTCACCTCATCCTTTCCCTCATTTTTCAGATGTATGAGTCTGATGGCTCCGTCATGGTCTTTTGGCATGCACTGGACTCTGGAGATGCCTCTCCAGGTATCTGCAGGACTGAGTGTGATGAGGGTAGGAGTTGGCTGGGGCTGAGGGAGGCACATTTCTGATAGTTTTCCCCTTTCATACTCAGTACAAGCTGTGTTTGCCAGAGGAATTGCTGCCAGTGGCCACTTCATCTGTGTGGGTGAGGGGGCCAATACCAGGCATTGGTGGGTGCTGGGGTGTAGGGGTATGGGCTTTAACTGGGAGGATGCTGAACATCTGAACACAGTGTGCGGGGTTAGATGGAAGAGTAGGAGTGAAGAGAGGTCTGAGAGATTCCAAAAAGCTATGGAGGGGTTCAGAAGGGCAGGGTGGAAATGGATAAGGGTAATGAATAGAGGAGCAGGGCTGTCAGAGTGGTGAGTGGTGCGTTTGTTACTAAGATGCCTAGGATGGAAAAAGTGCAGAGTGCCTGGAGACCTGGGAGGATCAGGAAGCCTTCAGTGGGGGCCCTGGTTCTACAGGAACATGGTCAGGCTTGGTACTGGTGTTTGACATCCCACCCAAGGGTCCCAACATTATACTGAGTGAAGAACTGGCTGAGCATCAGACACCAATCACAGACATTGCCACCGAGACTGCACAGGGCCAGGTGAGTGGATTCCCTCAACTGTTCCAATAAGCTGGAAACCTTTCTTACCTTGGGAGGCAGGGGACCTGAATTTGAGTCTTAGCTCTTCCACTAAGCAGTTAGATGACTTTGGGCAAAGGCAGCACTCTCCTAGGCTCCAGCAATCTCAGGTCCAGTGATGAAACCAGAGATACTTTACAATTACATGGCATTTAATAGTTCACTAATACTTTTCAATACTGGTGTGCATTGAGGAGCTCTGACAGAAGATTTCCAAGATGCTTTCCAGCTCTGACTTGTGCAGCTTCCTTCTCTGAACTTGGACAAGTCCTACCTTTTCCGGCCCACCCTCTCCAGAAAACCTTCCCCAATTACAGCTCCCACTGATCTCCCTAGCAGAACCCTGAATTGGTACTGCCCTCAGTGACAACTCTTGTCTCCCCAATTGGATTGCAAATCTCTGGAGAACTGAGTATGTATCTTTTAATTTGTATCCTTCACTGCACCTGGCCCAGAGTGGGGACCCATGGGTTTTGTAACCCTGGGGTTGGAGTTATCCAGAGACCCACTCTAGTCATGACTGTGACCTGCTCACTGCAAAGCCTCCAAAAGATCATAACACCATGACTTCATCCATGCAGTGAGGACAACTCTGTTGCTCTCTGAACACATGGTGTGTATAGTGCAGGGGCTGGGGAACGTGTGATGACATGAAACTCTAAGGAAAACACAAAAAGCATTTGTGCTCCCTGAAGGAACCTCAGGCCTACAACCAAGATGCCATCCCTGTCTCTAGAGAGGCAAAAATGCAAAAAGGCAAAAATGCTGCCTCCTTCCCCCTCCCACCCTGTAAACAGGACCTAGCAGAGGAGAAAGGGAAGGTGATCTTGCCTTTTCTCTTAGGACTGTGTGGCTGACATGGTGACAGCCGATGACTCAGGCTTGTTGTGTGTCTGGCGGTCAGGCCCGGAATTCAAATTATTGACCCGAATTCCAGGATTTGGGTAAGTGAGGCAGAAGGGGCTGAGGCTTTCCTAAGGTGGCCTCAGAATGGGAAGTGGGCTTGGGTCTGGGGAAACTAAAGTGGGTATCCCCCTTGCAGGGTCCCGTGTCCCTCGGTGCAGCTGTGGCAGGGGACTGTAGCAGCGGGCTATGGGAACGGGCAGGTACGCCTGTACGAGGCCAGTACAGGGGTGCTACATGTCCAGATCAACGCCCATGCTCGAGCCATCAGTGCCCTGGACCTGGCTCCCGAAGTGGGCAAGGTCAGTCTCCTCCATCCCCACATACCCTTGTTCCTGGTCTGGGAGGTTGAGAGGAAATTCACACACGTGTCTCTACCACTCAGTGTAGCCCTGCCCGGGCACTCCCACCTGTGCCAATCCCGTTGGCATGCTCCAGATCTCACTCATCCTCCTTGTCTTTTTTTTATAGCTACTCTCAGCAGCTGAAGACACCTTTGTACACATCTGGAAGCTGAGCAGAAACCCAGAGAGTGGCTCCATTGAGGTGTGCGTGGTGAGAGGAGCAGAGTCGGGGGGTGCCCAAGCAAGCTGCAGCAGTTCCTGAGCAGCCCTTCTCTCCCCTAGGTGGAACACTGCCATGGTGAGTGTGTAGCCGACACCCAGGTGTGTGGTGCCCGGTTCTGTGACCCCTCAGGCAGCTCCTTTGCTGTGACTGGCTATGACCTCGCTGAGATCCTGAGATTCAGCAGTGTGTGAAAGAAAAGTCACCCTCCTTTTTCCCTGTGCTATTTATAAAGTATGTCCTCCACCCAGTCCTTGTCTGGTTGTTCAGTATCACAGTCATACTTCATAATGGGTGAAACAAGCTCCAGGGAAGAGGGGATAGGGCAGATCCCCAGACCAAGCAGAGAGGCAACCTACTGGCAAGAACCAGGTAAAGGCTGCAGTTAAATAACTTTAATGGTGATGTGGGAGTCACAAGGGAGGTCCATTCCCTCCTAGGGCTCTTCATCCATCCTCAAAGCTGGTTAGTGCAGGGAGGTAGGGCAGGATTGGTTCCAGTTTTCTCCCAGGAAGGGTTTGGGGGATCCCAGCCAGCCCCAGGAATGAGTCCCTCAGCACCATGGCAACCATAACTTAAGAGGGCCTTCTGTTCCCCTTTCTCAGTCTCCCCCCAGTCCAGCAGAGGAAGGGGAGGCCAAGATGGCCAACCTGCTACAGACAGTGCCATATCCAGAGCCCAACTGCACGTAGGCTATCTCCTCTTCTGGCCAGATCCTGTTGCTACCACCTGTCTCATACTGGTGACTGGAGCCAAGTGCGGGGTGGCCCTTTGCTGCAGAGACCTCTGGACCGTGGGGATCGCTGTGGAGGCAGAGGGGCAGCCGAGCGGGACACCCCAGAGGAGTGGTCTGGGGGAACAGCATCCAGGGAGAATGTTCGGGGTCGCCCCCAGGGCAGGGGTTGGGTCCGGGCTGGGGCTGGGGCCACTGATGCAGGCGAGCAGGGGTTAGGCAGGGCAGGCTGGTCTGTAAACATTGCTAGCCAGGGTGGGGGCGTCTCCAGTCTCACACCCTCCCGCTGGGCCAGGATGTCTGTCACCGCTGCGATGTCATCCAGCGGCTCAATAGCTGTGGCACCAGGAAGGGGTTAAGGGAAGGGGGCGAGTCAGAGCTCAGGTCTCAGGCCTACCCAGCCCTGACCATCACCTGTCACTGTAATAGGAAAGCAAAGCCCGGATCTCAGCCGAGATTGTATTATCTTGTAGGAGCAGCCCTTCAACTGGACCTCCTGGAGCCCCGGGTTCTGATAAGACTATAGGATATAGGGTACAGGGTGGTCAGGCATGGGAAGGGTGTGGGCAGAAGTGGGTGAAGAAATCAAGAAAGAGGAGGAAAATGAAATCAGTGCCAGGCAAGTGAAGCATCAGAGGAAGAGACAGGAATCCGCATGCAGAAAGGGAAACAGAAAAGAAGAAATTAGGAAGGATATTCATGAAATGAATCTGGCTTTGGGGGGGTTTTGTTTTGAACTTTGTTTAGAACTCTAAGAAGAGCTGGAGAAGAGAAAAAAAATACTACATAACTGGGTGGGTCTTGGGTTCCCAGAGATTTTTCTTAACCCAAAGTGTGCTTTATCTCTGTTTCCATTATCTGGGTCCTCCTGAAGCCCCCAGTCCCACTTCCCTTCAGGTTCCCAGAGGACACTTCCACTCACCCATTTCATGGTACAAGGACCCCTGCTTGGCCAGTACTGGGGGTGGTTTCCGAGGAGCAGGGGTTTCAATTTTCATGATTTCATCGCAACACTGCTTCCACTGACCTGAGGAGAGAGCAGTGATTGGGGATAGGGAGGGGAGAATTGAGTAAGAGCCAGGCTATCCTCTCTCCTGCAACATCCCCTTCCCCTCATTCTTGAAACAGAGGCCTTTTGTAAAAGGCCAGTGTGTGCGTGTTCCCCCACGCACATACAACCCCTTCCAGGGGGTCAACCCAGCCCCTTCCTCTTACTCATGTCAAAGAAAAGCTGCCACAGAGCCTCCATCCAGCTTTGTAGGGCTCCCCGACTCTCTGTCTGAAGGGTGTGTGTCACCTCATCCTCTGAATACTGGTTACTGATGCTCAGGGTGAAGGGCCGGCCTGCAGCCTGGTCCTGCTCCCCAGCCCGCACTCGAGTCTCCTGCAGGAGAATGAAGGGGTCTGCTTTCTCCTCGACCCTGGTCACAGAAGTCAACAGTGACATCAGGCAGACTTGATCCCCGGCCAGGGAGCTGATCCACATGGCGCAGCAGACCTCTCCTGTCTCGCCTGCGGCTCCCCTCAGCAGTGTATTTCAGTGGATCTGCCAATTCTGCTCCCTACTCTGTCTCTGGTGAATCCTCTTGCCGCCCCCGCCACACACACATACCTCTGGCCTGTACCCCAGTTCTTATATGCATAAATAAATCTTAAAAAAAAAAAGTCGGCAGGACAGCCAGCAAAAAGACTGGGGAACAAAGTGGGGTCACTGGACTTGGGTTTAGAAAATAAACCAGGAAAGAGGGAAGTAGATGGAGAAGGAAATCTGAGGGGAAAGCTGAAAGGAGGATGAAAAATCCTAAATCGGGGGTGAACCTTCTTGGAGATTTGGCAATAAAAAGGATGATCCATTTCCAGTGATGCTAGTGAGGGGGAATATGGTCCCCAGCTGGCCCCACAGCTGTTGTGCTGTTAAGAGCAGGAGGTTCACTTTGATGGCTTTGAGCTCTGCACCCCCACCCCCAGGGCCCTAAAGGAGAGGCCCCCTCAGGCCCTGGCACTGGTGGTTTCACCACTAGGGGATCCATCACCTTGTTGATTGCAATAGTAAACAGCGGCTCTTCCCCAGTGTCTGCATCTTCAGGTCGCCGGTAACAGAAGAGGTTCGTGCCTTTCAGGACTCCATGCACGCGAACCCAGTCCTGCAGCTCCCCAGCTTGCTGCATAAATGAATCATGGCTTTCCTAGGGGAATTACAGCCCCCAATACCCTTCTTCCCAGGCCCACAGAGGATCTGCTCGTTTCTGCCCACCCTCTGTCTGATCTTTCTTGCCATACCCCTCCTTCCTCCACCCAGATCTTGATTTTTCATTAGTCCTACTCCTAGGTGATCTAGCTCTTCTCTGCTTTCTCCCTGTTCACTTCTGATTCGCAGGGCCCCCTCACCTGTACCCTGAGGGTACCACTTGCAGTAGGCTGAGTCATGCAGAGAGGCTGAGCCACCAGGCGGCAACACACGCTACCATAAAGGGGCAGCCAGGCGGGGTTCTCTTCTGGGGGAGGAGGAAGTACAGCGTGAGGGTGAGGAATGAGAAGAGGACCATTCAACAGCTCCTCTTTTCTCTATCCATGGTCCCCCACGCACATACATACTCACCATGGCTGGCGAGGGTGAGGTCGTGTGTGCGGAACCCATCTTGCACTGCTGCCAGGGTGAGTGAGGTGTGAGCCAAGAGGTGGTAACGAGGGCCACTGTAGAACAGATGGAGAAATGGGCCTCAACTGAGTGAGGAGCATGTTGGAGAGCAGGAGCTGTAAGGGCCAAGAAGGCCTGCTGCATTGTCCAGGCTGCCCCATGGAAAACTAGCTTGCCTCCCCCATAGGGGTTGGGAACAGACATTTATTGAGTTCCTGCTGTAAGTGCCTGGCCCTCTGGTTTATATATATTAGCCCTCTTATTCCCACGACAACCCTGTCAGGTTGGTGGCATTCTTCAGTTAATACATGAACAGCTTGAGGCTTAGAGAGGTTAAGATATTTTCCCATAGCTTATAACAGGTTGGTGGAGCTGGAATTTGAAAACATATCTGTCTCCAAAATCAGCATTCTGTCCATTACTCTAGAAGTTCTCAAACTGCTCCTTAGAGACCCAATGGTTTCATATGGTGCCTCTGGGTGCCTTTAGGCACTACCACAGGACCCAGACTACCCTCCTCCAACCAGGGTACTCTGTTCTATTCGCATAAGATATACCTGCTGCTGTAAAAAAGCTAAGACCCCTAGCTGTCCCTGCATTCCAGGTGGTCCTCTCAGTTGGTTCAGCACAGCTCTGGGGTACAGGCTAGAGTGCCTTCCATCTATGTGGCTACTGCTCATACTTGTCTGATTGCACATCCTGGCAGCAGTGCATGGATTCTCCATGCTCAGCAAGTTCACAGGTCACCTACGGCCAGATATAGGCAGCTGAGGGCAGTGGGGGCTCAGGGTCTTACCCAACGGCCGGGGTGGGGAGCAGGATGGGACTGCTCCCTGAACCTCCAGCATTCTCCAGTGATGCCCTGATGCGTCTCCCAGAGGAGCGGCCCAGAGAGCTGCTGAGTTTGGTGGCAAGCCTCTTGGGGGCTCCAGCCAGGGCCCCCTCTTCTTCCACGCAGGCCCCATATAGCTCTAGCCGCAGTTCAAAGTCCGGCCCTGCCCCGTCACTGTAGGAGTGTGGGAGGAAGAAAGGAAGATGGTCCTGGGGAAGTCCAGAGAGGCAGGAAGGGTGTGGTACAAGTACAGAACAGTTCCACAGGACGGGCCCATCTCCCTCTCCTTCTCCCCACTCCCCTGTGGCTGCTGCACCTCAGGTTTGGAGCAGAGCAGAAAAAGGAAGGAGCTACAGGAATGAGGTACTCACAAGAGCACATTGTTTTGAAAGGAGATGTCTGTGAGGGTCCTGTCCACCAGGATCATCTCTGTGTCCTGAATGTGTTCCCCTAGCTGCAAGAGCAGGAACACAGCCCAGCGGTGCAGGTCTGGGGACAAAGACTAAACTGGTCAGGACGTAGCCCCACAGGAGTCTCCAACTTCAAGGTCACGCCCTTGAATTTGTCCCAGGGTGTGGAACTCACCGCCTTTGTTCTTGAAATACTCTGTGTCCTTCCACATGAGTGGAATCCGGAGGTCTAAGGAGCATAGAGGTAGGAACAGACGTTGATACAGGGCAAGGGCTCTCTTGTGGCTGGGCAAGGGGTCCAGCAGCTGGGATAGTTGTGCTTCTTACCAGAGATGCAGACCCTGCCCCGGCAGGGGGAGCGCTCAGCAGGGGGTCCGCTGTCAGAAGGCCTGTAGGCAAATTATAATGTCCTAGACTGCACTCCCCCTTGTCCCAAGGGCTCAAGGGCACCCAGCCCCAGGTCCCAGCCAGACTGACAAAGCAGGGCTGAGGGACTGTTAAGGAGATTTGTTGATTAAACCCAGGAGGTGGCTGAGCTTGGGGACACTATAAACACATTATGACAGCTGATCATATACACAGTGCTCAGGGCTCCTCCCCATCTGAGCACCCTCCCTGTCCACCTCCCCAGACCCCTGGACAAGTGAGGCCTTGAGGGGACAGATGCCCACAGAGAGACTCCCTTTCAAGGGCTCTTCTCCGTTAAAGCCCAGGCTTAGAGGAGTTTGCAGACTTTTCTTTCAATAAGGGAGGCTGCTCATCTCTGCTCTCTCATCACTTCTTTGACATAAAAGGGCACTGGGTCAGTCCGCAAAGCAAGTTGACCAGCTTTGATGAAAGGAAAAAATGCAAATAGGGAACATTTATGTTCCATTTGCCACAAGCCCCCATACTTCCCTCCCCCTTAGCTTTGATTTCTCCCTTACCCTCCTGGCTAGATATGCTAAGCCTTCCCAGTGTCCCACATTCCCCAGTCCCTCACTGCAGGGCTCCAAGCACCTTGCCTTCCTCCCCTCCCTGCCCATCATGAGGAGTGACAGCTTGTGTCCCCCTCCTTGCCCTGTATCAAGTGACAGCCAGTTTATCCAAGCTAATTCATAATGCCACTAATGTAATTGGTGACTTAATAGGGCCTTAAACTAAACGATGTGATGCTGATGACAGTGTGTTTAGTTTTCAGGGTCTGGGGATGCACCTGCAGTCACACTATCTAGGCCATGTGGGGACTCAGGCAGGGCAGAGCACATGATGGCCAACTCCTAAGAGACACAAACTCATAGGAGAAGTTGTCCTCCCACCTGCTTGCCCTCCCTTTTCTGTCTTCCCATGGGGCTTCATGGGTAAGCTGTGGACTGTTCCCAGCATCTTCTTGTGTCAGCCTTCACGGATAAGCTGGGGGGTGGGGGGTGCACCATGCCAGTGAGGGCTGGGACTTTTCCCCTCTCAGCCTCCTGGGGTCACTCAGGCTACTCTGCTAGAAGTCAATTCTCCAATTGACCAATTCACCCAAAATAGGCAATTCCGAGAATTGACCAATTTGCCAAGCATTTTCTCGAACATTTTAGTTTTACCACAGCTTCACCTCAACCACTTCACTGAGATTTAGCCAATCAGCAGTCCTTGTCAGTGTAGCTTATGTTTCACATTCAGAAGCTGAGCCCTTTTAGAACACACAAACTAGTTTATGTGAAGGGATAGGTTTTTCCTTAAGCAATTTGTTCATTTCCTTTATCAGTTCCTGCCTCTGATGGTGAACCCCAGAACTATGTCAGTCTGTGCTAAATTATCTTTCCAGAAACCAACCAGCCAGTCTCATCACAGGCTGGGCTTAGCAAATTAGCGCTTTTGCATTACTGCCCCTCAGACTCCCAGCAGTTCACCTGAAACACTGGCTTTCCTGAGTCCAGCCCTAGTGACTCGCCAGTGCACTCTGGGCAGCACACCATGTGGTGAGACACCAAGGTATCTTCCGGGCCCCAGATGGGGAGGTCATCTTCAGAGTAGTCCCTACTCTGTGGACACACACGCTACCACTTACCCCAGAAGGCCTTGCCACCCCTTTGCTTACCTCCGGCCTGTCTTCTCCAGCACCTGTGCCTCCTTACGCCGCTGCAGCTCACCCATGTAGCTGAGGATGCGGCTGTTGCACACCAATAGGCTCTTGGTAGCCTCCAGAGCCTGCTCACGCTGGGAGCAAGCTGCCAGCAGCTTGCAGGCCCCTTCCCTCATCCGAATCTCATGGTCTAGCTTTCTCTGCAGCTCTGTGTCCTAACCAGAGTGGGCAGAAGAATGAGAAGGAAATGTGAGTTAGGACAGCCGAAGCACCCTCCAGTTCCCAAATGGTTGTGGCCCATGAGAAATTGACGAGAAGCTTGTTTCAAGGCAACTCAGGAGCAAGGTTAACTCAACCACAGCTACTTAAGAATAACCAGTGAAACTTCATAAAAATACAGATGCCTTCATGCATTTGGTGATGGAAATATAAATTCCCTCAGCCTCTTTTGGATGCAATTTAGAAAAATATGTAGAAACTACAAATTCACCTATCCTTTGCTTCAACAGTCTAATATCTCAGAGTTTATTCTACAGTTTCAGGTATGAACAAAGCCATATGTACAAAAATATTCACTGCAGCATTGTTCTAAACACCAAGATTTAAAGTCTTTTAGTCTGCATTGGTTCAATAAGCTATAGCACATCTATAGTGTAGTACATTGTAGACTTTAAAGAGTGAGGTATGCAGATATGAAACAATCTTCAAAACATATGAAGTGAGAAAAGCAGAACAGTACTATGGCATGCGACCACTTGTGTCTGACATGTACATGCATATACAACACAGAGATTCATAAAACAGTAGTGGTTACAGTCAGAAATGGAAAGTAGATTTATGATACTTGATATATACCTTCCTTTACTATGTACTATTGAAAATTATCTTTCCTTAAAAAAAAAACTTCTGAGTTAAAAAAAAATTACCAAAGGGCCTCCCTGGTGGCGCAGGGGTTAAAGTCTCAATGCTATCAAGCTGTCGCCAGCCACTGCAGCATAAGTTCAATCCCTGGCCAGGGTGCTGACCCACATGGTACAGCAGACCTCTCCTGTCTCGCCCACTGCTCCCCTCAGCAGTGTATTTCAGTGTATCCACCTGTTCTGCTCCCCACTCTGTTTCTGGTGAATCCTCTCACCCCCTGCACCTCTGGCCTGTACCCCTGCCCTTGTATGCATAAATAAATAAAAAATTAAAATCTTTTTAAAAAATGATCAGGCCCCAAATCAGACTTGAATGCATTTTATTTTAATTCCCCAAGTGATTCTGAAGTGCAGCCAGGACTGAGGACCACCAACTAAAAGGAATGAAAACATAATAAAAGTCATCATGGGCTACCCCAAAGATTCAAGTGATGAGGAGGGGACATCTTGAGTAAGGGATAAGTAGAGAAGGGACATACCACCTGAAGAGTTCACCCCACACTGCACAAAACCCTGAACACCCCCCAAATTAGTGATTCAATACCTGCTAACCCTCTGAGCTTAAGAGGTGAGGAGAAAGGCAAGAAACGTGGATGGAAAGGCAGGTAAGTAGGAGGTCAGGAGTAAGGGGCTGAGCAGACTGTGCATAAGGGCCAAGGGGAGGCAGTGGAAGAGGCCCCAATATTCTCAGGAACATTCATTCAGAAAGAAGGCCTAGAGGTTTTGGCACAGAGACAAGAGCACCAGTTTGACAAGATAAGTCTGTCCTACCAGTCTTGAGACACTGGGAAGAAACATTTTTAAAGCCCCGGGCATTTTACTCAACCTCACCAGGACTCAGTTTCTCCATCTACAAAATGAGGATGGAAAAAGTCCCTATTTCCTAGGGTTATGGGTGTTCAGCAAGACAGCAGTATAAAACATTTAGCACAACATCCAGCACGTGGTAAGCACAAGTGGTAGGGGTGCTTATTTTAATGATGTTACTTTGCCCAACAAACACTGGACCATCTCTATGCTGGCCAAGGCTCTACATTTAAAATCCTGCTGGGAGGTGAGAGATGCAGACATTAATGGCTGCTCTCTAAGTGCAATGTCATGGCATAAACATACAGAAAACAGACGTTGTTCGTTTCTGGCCGAGGTGATGGGGAAGACTTCAGAGAGAAGGTGGAAGACGAGCATCATTACAGTGTACAGAGCAGTTCAAGAGAGAAGCCAAGTGGAGCCACTAAGTTGGAAGACAGGAGTGAATGTGACCACCCAAAACTTGTCTTCTTCACATCAGCTCTCTTCTGCAGCCTGTCCTTGCTTCTGTCCTTGGTGGCTCTAGCCTTCAAGTCTCTAAGACCTGAACACCCCAAATTCCTGCTTCCAGAAGCTTGTCCAACCTTCCTGCAGATTCTTGCTTCACCATCTATTTTCTCATTCATTACCCCTCACCCCAGCTCTATCCACCTGCTTCCGTTCCTGACCTTTCAGAAATATGCCAAACCAGTTCCAATACTACCTCTACCAAGAAGCCCTCCTAGACTACAGCCCTCCCTTCTGCGTACACCTGTCTCTGCATCAGTGTCCCACCTGTACCAAGCTTAGCCACTTGCCAACCTTCATCCCATCCTACCTCCAACTTCTACCACAAACATCCCTAAATGAGTGAGGAGGGGGACAGAAAGGGGTCCTCAAGCCCCTCCTGCCCACCCTCTTAGTCCCGCCCCAGCACTCACGGATCCTTCCCTCTCCCTGTCCATTGCACGAGTGGCACCGATGCAGGTGGCGAGCCAGCCGGGTCTGGGGTGCCTTCTGCTCGCGCAGCCGCAGCCGCCCCCGCCCGCGGCGCTCCAGGCGGGCGTCGGTGACATCAGCTCCCAACTGCCGCGAGAGCAACCAAGGGGTTCCCGGGTGCGGACGACGGCCCCTCTGTGCGCCCGGCCAGATGAGGCGCTGGACTCTGGAGGCGCGACCACCGACACCCGGCAGCGGCGGGGCGGTGCCCCGGGACCCCAGAGTCCGGGAAAGGAAAAAGGCTCCTGGTCTTGGAGCTGTGCTTGACTTCAGGAGGCGAGGAGGCCCCTCCGGCGTTGTGCTTGCCCCTCAGAGTGACCTCTCGGGAAGGGGATAACTGGACTAACTGGGGCAGTAGAGAAGTCGCTGGCCATGGAGAAAGCCCTGAAAGCGTAGGAATGCCGACCAGAAGCCCGACCCCCCCACCCCCCCACACACACACACACTCGGATTCCACCCCCACTGCAGGGCCTTCTGGCAAGAATCCAATCTCCCATGACCCCACAACAAGGACCACTCTAGAGAACCCCACTCCTGCCCTGCAGAGTGGGCAGAGCAGCTTTGAAATCCTGTAGCAGGCTCCAAATCACCATACCTTGCCCCATCTCCCCACTCCAGAGATAATTCCTTGTTGCCTCTTAACCCACACACCCCCTCTCCCCAGGCAGGCAGCAATTTCACCATGCTCTCCTGGGAAAGAGCCCAGAACTGGATGTCAGCCAGACCTGGGTCAGGGCTCAGGGGGCTGAAGGAGGATGAGTCACGGGCAGATGCTGCAGCACACATTAGGCGCTCTGTGGACATCCTTTCCCATCCCTCTCCTTCTCTTCTGTCCCTGACTTCCTGCTCTGCCTGTCATCACCCCTGTCCCTTCGGAATCTCCCCAGGGCTAAGTTCAAATCGTGGCTTAAAAGCTTAACTCGCTGTGAGAATTTAACCTCTGGAGCCTCAGTTTGTAAACCAGGGAATATTTCATCTCCTTCATAGCTTAGTTTGAGGATCAGTGGGAAAGTCTAACCTCAACTTGGGTTCAGCACAAATTTAAAAACAACCTTTCTCATTCTTACCTCCCATTTACTTGCAGCTTAAGTCACCTTCTCCAGAAAGGCTTTCAGATTTATTCTTCCATGACTACCACTCTTGCCAATCTCTGAAACATCAATGTCTCCCTTTTGGGGGGAAGAGGAATTGCTGAACAGCACCCTCATGGCTGAAGCACAGGCAACCAAAGTGAAATCTAAGCCCCCACCTGTACTACAGAACTTGGGCACGCTTCCCATGAAGGAAAAATTACATGGAGGGAAGGTGCTTAATTTAAACATGTAAGTAACTAGACCGGCTCTATACAATAAAATCTTCTGCAGTGATAGGAATGTCCAGGGGTCCTCTAGCACTTGACACACAGCTACAGCAACTACGGTACAATATTTTTTAAATTTTATTTCACTTTAATTTCCTAAAATTTGAATTTTTTAAAAAAGATTTACTTATTTATGCATACAAGTACTGGGGTACAGGCCAGAGGTGTGGGGGGGGGGTGAAAGGATTTACCAGAGAGAGTGGGGAACAGAACAGGCAGATTGACTGACATACACTGCTGAGGGGGAACAGTAGGCGAGTCAGGAAAGGTCTGCTGAGCCATGTGGGTCACCTCCCCTGGGGATCAGTGGCTGCAGGTAGCTTCACAGTGCTGTGTCTTAATCCCTTGCACCACCAGGGAGGCCCCCCTAAAATTTGAATTTAAATAGTCACCTGTAACTATTAACATGGATGGAGAGGATTATGGATGGCAAATGGATTTTATCTCATGGGCCAACACTGGGTAATCTGTAGTGTTGGAGCCCCACTGGCTCATTGGGTACTTTTCTACACATTCGATAAAGGTGACCCTCTCCAGGCAAATAGCTAGATAAAAACAGCTCCTCTTGACGCAGCCCCAAAAGAGGCCAGGACTCCTGCCTTTGCTCAGCACCTTTGCGAAGGTCACAAAATGCACAATTTATGCCAAGGTTGTGCTGGAAAAGATTCTGAGGCCACATCTGGACTTGTTGGTGAAGAGTGCCACAGTTGACTAGTAATGTCTACTATGACCCAGGGAGGTGTGGCGGTCTAAGGGCCGCAGAACATGTGCAATAAATTGCCACTCCTGATCTGAACGTGTTACACTCCTGCCTTTGACCTCTCTCAACAGCAACCCCCTGCAAGGTCCAGGCAGTCATTTCCACAGCTATATTCATCTTCCCCACCTCAGCAAATGACCACAACACCCACACACCTGGAAATCATCTTGGAGTCCTCACTTTGCCTTAACCCCCATGTCCCATCTGTCAGCAACCGGCCAGATGTACCACCATCATTTGAAATTCAGCCCCTTCTCTGTCTCAACCATGAGCATTTTAACCACATAGCCAGGTTCACTCTCTTAATGCTGTAACAGCCTCCTATCTCTCCCATCTAGTGGCCCTAGATGGGCCACTCTCCCATGCTACCTCTCATGCCAACCCTCTTCGCTCCCACCCCCCAGCCTGCCTAGCCTGTTCTCCACAACATTCATCATTTAAAAACATGGTGAGGGCCTCCCTGGTGGCGCAAGGGGTTAAGATGCAACCTATGAAGCTCTCCGCAGCCACTGCAGCACAAGTTCGATCCCTGGCCAGGGAGCTACCCACATGGCGCAGCAGACCTCGCCTGACTTACCCGCTGCTCCCTGCAGCAGTGTATATCAGTCAGTCTGCCTGTTCTGTTCCCTACTCTGTCTCTGGTGAATCCCCTCACTCCCCACACCTCTGGCCTGTAGCCCAGTTCTTGTATGTATAAACAAATAAATAAATTTTTTAAAAGAATAAACAAATTAACAACTCTACCATTTCCAGGGCCAGTAGAAGATTTCCATTCTGCCCCAGAATCCCCTTTCCTTTCTCCAGTAAGTTCATACCCTTCCTGCAAACCTCTCTCACATCGACCTCCTCTCTTCTTTCCATCCCTTGCAGGAGCCCTCTGTTACAGAACACATAGACACACCCACCCCAGAGCTTCCATATATAGGTATAAAGACCCTGTCACCAATATGATGCTCTGATTGGCAGCACTGAGCCTGGGTCCACACACAGCACCCAATGCAAGGCATTCAGAACCACACATCCCTCTCCCCACTTGGAGCATGCCCTCCCCCCTCAACCCCAGCTGGGAAGGGTAAGACAGAGGCAGGACTGGGACACATGCAAACGAGCTGATGTCCAGGGGTGGGGGGCGTTACCTCCAGGCTGAGCGCCATCTGCCGAATGTAGAGCATATTCAGGTCCTCCAGGATGTGCAATCTGTCCTGCATCTCTGTGCCCCCTAATGCCCCTTCCCTTGTTGAGCCCTCCAGAGGGGATGGGGGCGGGCAAGCTCTACTGTGCCCCACAATTCCTCCTCCCACTGCTCCCCTGGTCTTGAAAGAAGTGGGCAGTTCTGGAGCAGAGGCAGCCCTTGTCTCTGCACTGGTGGTAGACCCCTCTGGCTGCACACTTTCTTGCCTACCGCTGTTCCAGGACCCTGCTGGGAGGCAGACCAGGCAAGAAAAGAGAGCGAGGTGAGGATGAGCCCAGCTCCAGGAAGGGAGGCCTGCTGCCGAGGGGACTTTGGGCACAGAGTGTCCAGTCTTGCTTTGGTGGCAGCTGTTCTCCCAGCTGTGGAAGAAAAAGGCCCTTTCATTCCGATTCTGGTCCCTCCCCAGCCCCCGCCCACATCCCTGGCGGAGTGGACAGAGAATCTGTGTGCCAGTATAGCGTGAGGGGCAGGCACAGCTGGAAGGGGGCAGGGAGGGGACGCCTCATGCAGGTTCCAGAGAGTCTTGGGGTTTGTCCTGAGGCTGAAGTTTTCTGAGAGGGGTTCTGGCTTAGTTGGAAGAAGAGGGATTGAGGCGAGGTCTTGAAGGGAGAGTGAACCCTTCAGGAAGTGGGACAAAGGGGCAAATGAGGTCCAATCCCCAGAGCCACCTCTTCCAACTTGGAGCCCCCATCCAGCCCGCCCCGCCCTGGACTCACAATTACCTCGTTTTTTCCAGTGGCAGGGAGGAGAGGGAGGGAGAAGGCAGGGGTGTGCCTGTCTGCTGCTGCCCCCGCTCCCCTCTGCGGGCCCCTTCCCTTCCAGACAGGAAACCAGCCCCGATTCCCAGCCAGCTGCAGCTTTGCCTATCCCCTCCAGCCCAGGCTCACGAGTCACACTCCCCTCGGTCGCCGGCCGGGTCCTGCAGCTCCGCCCCGCTTCACCCGCGGGCCCCGGGGGCAGGGCTTATCCCGGGGGCCGCCCCCGCTCGCAGGCGCCTCCTCCTGGTCTCCCGGCCTCGCCCCTCTCTCCCCTAGCCTGGGTCCCACGCAGAGTTGTGGTGCGGGACCCGAAAAAGTCCACTCCTCCAAGGCCCGCTAGCTTCTGAGTCAGTGCAGGCCCGGGGCGCCGGGACGCGGGAGAGAAAGGGCCTTTGTTCTGCCCAGCTTGGGGGGAAAGGGCAGAAGCCAGGCCTGGAATCCCGGCCGGGAGGGAGCCGGGGGAGGGAGGAAGGCCCCCTCACTTAACCCTTTACAGACCCAGAGGGAAGGGGAAGTGCCCTTGGGGACAACCCTCCGCTGCGGCTACTCAATCTCTCAGCCCCACAACTTTCAGCGCCTCCCAAGCCTCTTTAGGGAGTTACAGGTGGGGCTCGGCCCGCGCCGCGTGGGGTCGTCAGATGGGAGGCAGGACCCCTCTCAGGCCCTCGGGGAGGAGGCTGATAGTGCAGGTGGGAGGAATAACCCCACTTCGTTCAAAGGGCGCGCCCATACACACACCACCCCAGTCCTCCCTCGGGGCCACAGGAGCGCAGCAGGTGGCGAGGCTTCAGCCTAGGTAGGGCGCAACCTGCCCTAGCAGCCGGGATTGCTGGTGGAGTCTGACCGAGAAGGCTGAGACAGCTGTGGGACGGGCCCGGCCGCCGGAAAGGGCTCGGCGCCCAGGGCGAGAGTCCGAGCTCTCCGCTGGAGCCCGCCTACCTGCCCACCATCCTTTGCCAGGAGTGGCCGGGAAGGGGCCGGCGTCCAGGCATATTTTTGGAATAGGGCCTGAGGCCCCTTCAATTGAGGCCAACCCGGGGTTGTTCCAGGCGGAGGCAAACCATCCCGACCGGGCCGGGGAGCGGCTGGGGTGGCACGGGTCCGATCAACGCGCAGCCGGTCGGCGTCTTACTTTTTAAGTCCACCACAACCGGTTCCTACCCGGGCCGCGGCGTCTCCGCCCCTCGGCGTGCGCAGGGCGGGGGCGGGAGGCCCGGGCGACCCGGGCAGCAGGAGCCCGGGCAGGGGGAGGCAGAGACGCGGGACACGCACCTCGGGCTGGTCGCAGAAGAGGCTGAGTCGGAAGCGGCCGCGTTTGAACTCCATCTCCAGGGCCGAGCCCCTGGCCACGGTGACCCGGCTCCGGTGGTTTCGCGCGAACATGCTGGAGGCTCCGCGCTGTGCCCGTGCTGTGTGCTCCGCGCCCCACCGGGCTCTTCGGTCTGCTCGGCTTCTGTCCTTCGACGATCCCCCGCCTGTCCGACCGGGAATCTCCCGCTGCTCGGTTCCCAAACCCCGCCTCCCGAGACGACACCTGGGCCGGGCAGGGCGCGGCACCCTGCTCCTCCACCCCCGCCAACGGCCCAGCTGGCCCAGCCAGTCCTCGGGGCGCCAAGCACCCCTGGCCGACAGCCCGACGGCCAGCGCACCCTACACCTCCGGAGGACTGAGGGGGCGCGCCGTCCCTTCCGGGCTGGGCCCCAAGCACCTCACCTGAACAAGGGGTGGCCCCAGAGAAGCCCCACCCCCCGACCGCCCCACCTGGCAAGTTCGACTACCTGGGCGCGGAAAATCCCGGGGCCAGGGGAACGCGTCTCCGCACACAGTGGCTCTAGCCGGGCCTTTCGGACCGCGCCCAACCTCATCGCCTGGCAGCTTCGGACTATTTCAACTTCCTACAGTCCCGAATGTCTGTGCTTCATGCCCCGTCTTCCCTAGGCTCCATTCCACGGGGACCCGCCCATCCCGAGTGGCCACAATTCTTGGGGCAGTGCTTTAGCACTTCTTGGAACCGGGTTCTGTCGCTTACTAACCGCGGGTCCTTGGTTCCGCCATTAACTTTGCGAGCTTCAGTTTTCTCCTCTGCTTAATGGGGAACAGTCATTTTCCCCACTCCTCAGGTTGCTGTGAGGATTACAGCCGAGAAGGAATGTAAAATACCCAGCATAGTGCCTGGCACAAGACAAGTGCCCCGCAAGTGACGCTACGGAGAAAAGGAGCAGGCGCCGCATTTTTTTTTGCCCTTGGATAGGGCGCCAGGGACCACAGCTCCCTGCCCCCAGCTGGACCTTAAGTGCCTTAAGAGTGCCAAATGGGAAAGAAAGAACGGGCAGAGGAATAGCTTGCTGACCACCCATGTGAGGTCTCCCAGGTCTTCAGAACTTTCTGGGGAGAACTTGAGCGATGGTGGGGCCCTATTTCTCTGGGCTGGATGAAGAGAAAAACAGCCTTTTGCTGTAGAGAATCTAGGTTAAATTTATTGCTCTGCTATTGCAAATTACTCAGTATGATTTTAGAAGCTCTGACTTCAGCAAAAGGGAAAATGTATTGGCTTAAGAACTAAAATGTACAGGAGTCTGGCTTTAGATGTGGTTCAAAAGCTTGCTCCAGGCATCCAGTGTCATGAGGATCCTGTCTCTTCCTATCATCTGGCTCTACTTTCTTCCACATTGGCTTCACTCTCCACAGCATAACAAGTTTGCTGCCAAAAAATCTGCATCTATATCTTTACAGGCTTAAATTCAGCGGAAAAAGAATGCATCTGTTTCCTGAAACTCCTGACATGTCTGGGATTCACGATGGGTCACTTGGGTCATTTTTCTATCCCAAACCAATCTTTGTAGCCAGAGGGGTAACCAGACATGAACCAATCAACTGTGGCTAAAGAGGTTTCTGTGTGCCAGTGGGCCAGGCCTGGGTCACTTGCCTATTTTGGCAAATCAACTGGAACACAGTGAGCTAGGAGAGAGAGCGAAGGAGAGGGAATGGTGGTTACCCAAAGACTGTTCAAGGTATCACCACCAAATGGCATGGTGATGGATGCTAGACAGGAAAAACAACAAATATCCACCACATACAAAAATTTATATGGAGATGGGAGTTCTGCCATGAAAGGCAGATCAAAAGATTCTATAATACCTATGATTGTTGAGATAAACCGCAATGGAGAGGAGAAAGGACAGAAAGAGGGGCCTCCCTGGTGGGGTGCAAGGGGTTAAACACAGCTCTATGAAGCAATCCACAGCCTCTGCAGCAGGAGTTCCATCCCCAGCCAGCCAGGGAGCTACCCACATGGCACAGCAGACCTCTCCTGTCTCACCCTCTGCTCCTCTCAGCAGTGTATTTCAGTAGATCTGCCTGTTCTGCTCCCTGCTCTGTCTCTGGTGAATCCTCTCACCCCCCACACCTCTAGCCTGTACCCCAGTTCATGTATGCGTAAATAAATAAATCTTTTTTAAAAAAGAAAGAAAGGACAGAAAGGGAAAGGCATTGTTTCTTAATTTTTTCAAGTATCTATATTTAGTCCTTTCCCAGCTCCCAAGGGAAAGACAATCTGTCCTATCCACTGTTTTATATCCAGAGCCTGGCACACAGGAAGTGCTCAATAAACATCTTTTGAAGTAAACAAACAAAGGAACTGCCCACAGGAAGTAGTAAGCAGGCTTGAGAGTATTTGACTGGGATGAACCACACTGTTGAACTAAAACAGTTCAAATGCTTGATTTTAGCATTGGCTGCGGACAGTTTCAGCGCTCTGTGCTCAACCGTCTGTGCCACCAGGGGATTCTGCCACCTACAGAATTCATCTTAAAGACCTCCCCTAAGAACACTTTACCAATGAAATCTTACCTGGAATATGTGATGGAAGTAGGGGCTGCAGACTCACACCTTGTCCTCCACATAAGCGCTCAAGTCCTCAGTGGAACCCAGGTTCTACAGAAGGGGTTGGAAACCCCTGACAAGAGGCAGAGGAATGGAAGGCATTTGAAAAGTAGACCAAAAATCTTGTCTGAGAATTTGTAGTTGTCTTGACTGAAGATTTTGGGAAAGGACTGATACTACTAAGCTGTATTTTAGAGATCATAATCTGGCAGTCTTTTGCATAAATCATTTTAAGGGGGGGTTTGTTTGTTTGTTTGTTTGTTTAGTTGAAGGAGTTTGTCACTGGGATTAGGGAAGCCAGCTGGCACTATTCTCAAATGAGTGTGGCGAAATAAGGACCAAAATGTATGTAGATTTACATATATATATGTAAAGATTTATTTATTTATGCATACAAGAACTGGGGAATAGGCTAGAGATGTGGGGGTGTGTGTGTGAGAGGATTCACCTGAGACAGTGGGGAACAGAACAGGCAGATTGACTGAAACACACTACTGAGGGGAGCAGTGGGTGAGACAGGAGAGGTCTGCTGTGTCATGTGGGTAGCTCCCTGTCCAGCCAGCGTCGAACTTGTGCTGCGGAGACTGTGGATAGCTTCTCAGGTTGCGTCTTTACCCCTTGTGCCACCAGGGAGGCCCCAATTTATATAATTTTTTAAATTGAATTCTTATCTGTAAACAAACATACAATTAAAAAAATATTCATTCTAGAAGGCTAAGGAGAAGCCCAGAGAGAAGCAAGAGAAGCAGAAAAAAAAATTCATTCTATTTTTAAACTAATAAATATAAATATATAAAAGTTCAATGATGTCACAATTGAACTTGGCCATGATTAGAGTATTTACACAACAGAAATAGGTGGACACTATAAATGAGGACTGATCCCCTACCTCTCCTAACCAAGGAACTTTTGTTAACCATTCATCGGCATGCCATTCATTTGCTGCATAATCTTGCTGACTTTCCATTGCTTATGTCTGTATCTCTATGTCTATCTTATGTCTGTATTCCCAACTATGAAGTAGATATTTGGGAGAGGGATTGTTGGTCACCCAGTGTTCCATTCATCTTCCTC